TTTTTTTTTTTAATGACTGCTAGGTCTGAGAAAAACCCTAATGGTCACCCACGCTAAGGTGAAACTTCTTCATTTATTCATACCTGGGTATCAAAATGCCTGCTTTGAGACCAAAGACTATTTGGCAATAAAAGATTTCAATAACCTGCATGACCATAGTTTGGTTTCACTATTCACATTATTAAGGGGAAATGAGGACATCATTAAAATTTTAAAAATCTAGTGAAATTTCCTCCTAAACACCAAATGTAGGGACACATCTGTTTGCTACATGGGTTATCCTCTGATGGGCTGCAAGGCAGGATTAGAGATTAGCTCCCTGATCCCAGAACCCACAAGGAAAACAGTGCATTCAGTTTCTGGCTGGCAAATCTCTTTTCAGGCCAAAGCAACCCCAGCTCTCAGCAGGATATCCTGCAATCTGCTGAAGGGTTGGGCATCTGCTGAACCCTTGTAAGTCTTAAGCTGACTAGATCAGTTTCTTAATTATTCCTGAAAGAAGCCTTTCTGAAATCACATGATCCACTGGGAGACAAATTAAATGCAAATTTGTAGAACAACAAACAAATTAAGACTCCTTTTAGTAGATACATGGGATGTATCTGTTGCCCCTGTTTATAAATTTGATGCCTTTGGATATTGAGACTTCCACATTATCCCCCAAATAAGCATGAGAATAGACAAGACCCTAAAAACCAAATGCAGTTTATTACATAAATGAATACATGTGAGTTGTGTGTATAAGCAGAAAATAGGAAACTTTTAAAAGAGAATAAATTAAAATATGGTTATTAAGAATGGATTGTGGGATTAAAAACTATTTCTCATGTCCACTTTTTAAAGGAATAATACTGTTTAACATAGGTGTGACAAGGAACAACTTTCATTTCCAGAAAGCCTTAAAATCGTGGCGGGAGACAGACATGGGAGGGTAACTGGAATACGTAGGAAAGAGACAGATACGCAAGACAAAGAATTTCTACATTAAATAGATATGGTGTTTTTTTTTTTTTTTTTTTTTTTTTTTTCTGGCAGAACCAGGGATTGAACTCAGACCCTTGAACTTGGTAGGAAAGTGCTTATTCCACCGAGCCATCTCCCTGGCCCTACATTAAATAGAAAAAGATGCTGTGATAGACAAATCCTGAAAAGCACCTGAGATTGCTACATTTACCAGTTAACCCCATGTATTTATGGGGAATGAGTGTAGGATGCCGGTGCGTAGCTTAAGAGAACGTGCTTCAGAAACAGAAAAATAGAACGCATGACAAGAGGGGTTAATGTGATTGATGTCAACAGGCTCCTCTGGAAAAGCTGTCAATAATCTCAAATAAAAGACATGAATGGGTTTTCAAGGGAGGGTCACTAAGTCCAAAATTCAGTTACAAAATAGACAACATAATCTCACTTTTGGTCTATATTTTTTCCTTCCAAAATTTCTTGATGAGAGAATTAAAGAAAAACAAACAACTGAATTACTTAAATAATGCCACTGTTGTGCATATTAAAAGCCTTAACAAGAATGCATCTTTTCAATCTAACTCACCTAGGAATTTAGGAACTAATCAAAGATGTGTGTAAGCTCGGGAGGGAACTCAGTGGCTTAAGCGCTTGCACGGCAAGTACAGTGTCGTGAGTTCAACCCTTAGTACCAAGAAGAAAAAAATGTGTGAAAAGAAGTATTAGGCAAAGGTTCACTGCAATGTGGTTTTTGATCACGAAAAATACAAACACCTAATCTAGCAGTAGGGAATTGCTTAAATAAATATTGGCCCATTTGGACAATTTAGGATTATGTAAACCACTAAAATGATGGTGCTAATTAATGATGTCATGGTTAAGAAATGGAAAATATTTGCAATAGGAAGTGAAAAAATGTTACAAAATGGTATGATTCAATTTTTTAAAAAGCATGTACATATACACAAATAGACAACATCATATATTCTTTTCTCCCCTTCGGTGCTAGAGCTCAAACCAAGTGCCAGCGCGTGCTAGGCAGGAGTTCTTCCACTGGGTGGCAACTGCCCATTGACATTCTTAAATTTAGAGGTGGCTACTCTCAAGAGACAGATTATTTTAACTTTCTTGAGGGAATTTGCCTGCATTTTCAACATGTTATAAATTATTACTTTTGTTATTAAAAAAATGTTCTTTTAGACAATAAAATTAAGCTGTAAAGAATAGTAGGCTATGTGTCCCTTCTAACTTAAAACCATAATAACTTGGATTGAAGTATCTGTTACACATGATGGAAGTTAAAAATTTACTACCTGAAAAGGTACAGAGCCTGGAACTAATGTGTTTCTCTAGATTGGTTAAATATTTCAAAACGTGAGCTTCTATATCTTTAGTATAAAATAGTAATACCCTTTTATAATAATAAGGCATTCTGCCCTCTTCAAGGGCATTACCATGTGACTTCTGCCTAGTTCTGAATCAGTCCACTGGCCATCAAGCTTTGCTGGAGAAGAGGCCTCCCTGGGTGGCCACGCTGGCCTCACACTCCTGGGCTCAAGTGATCCTGCGGCCCCTGACTCTGAGTAGCTGGTACTGTAGGTGTGCTACTTCCATCTGTAATTCGGACTGCACATTACTACCAACAAATATATAGAGGCTACTGATGAAAAATTTAAGCATATTCTCATAATGTGATTTACTTATAACTTATATATCTCACAACTATATTGGAATATCTGCTCTATCTGAAGACATGCATGAAAATGATGAAATAAACAGGAGCTCCGATATTTTCTTCTTAGAACTCGTGGACTGTCTTGTATATAATCTATCATGGATATCCATTCGACTGCACAACCACTGGGCAACCACAAAAGAAGGGCTCTAACGAGAAAGGATCCAGCGAATGTGAATGTCCCACTCAGGCTGAAAAGGGTGGGTAGCCATTTGGCCGAGTTTTTCAATTTACCCACAAGTCAAAGGTTATCTAGTTAGCAGCGGTGGGCGTGCGGGGATGGCGATGGCGTATGTATGCAAGGAACACCTTGCGGATCTAGACATTAGCTTACCTTGCTGCTGCAACTTGTAATCAGTGGAATATGCCTTCCCAATGATATTCCACACGGGCCGCAAGCATCCGAACAGTCCTTCGAGAAAGCCGCCGCTGCCGCTGCCAGACCTGCTGAACTGGATCTTGATGTCTTCGGCCCCACTGGTGTTCTCCCCTTCCACAGTGCTGCTGTGCCCCTGAGGTACAGCTGTCTCCGACTCATCCTGTTCCCTAAGCTGAAGAACACTATTCTCAAACTGGTCCCTGGAGTCTTCGCTTACGCTGGTCAACACCGTGGTGGCGACCGGGCTGCCCGCGCTCTCGATGACCTCTGTTCGCGCAGCGCCCTTTTCCTGCTGGTCCTCCGGGAGCCTGAGTGAGGGGCGGTTCCCCATAGCTGCGAGCTCATCTTGCAGGACGTTGAGGGCTTTGTTGTCACTCAAGGGTAAGTGTGGAGAGGAGGAGCAGCTCAGGTGCTCCTGAGGGCTGGCCATGGTGCCATGAGTGTGACCAAGGTGCTGAGACGACACTCAGAGGATAGGCAGAGCGGCGGTCTGGTGCAGGAGAGGGCACGAAAACCTGGGGACAAGAGAAGGGTGTGAACCACCGTCGGGCGCCCACTCTGCACCGCCGCTTAGATCATGAAGCACTGAAAAGACGTGAAGGGGTAAGCTGAGGTTTGTTCCACAGGATGAAATCCTGCGCAGCAGGGAAAATGGTGGTGTAATAGAGTACTAATATGAGCAAATAGGTATTACTAAATTTATTCGAAAGGATACATAAGTGCATAAAAGAAAACAGCTTAGAGGGGCCCGGGAGATAGCTCAGTGGTACCACATGCTGCACTGGCAACTGAGACCGGGTGGTAGTGCACGCCTGTAATCCCAGTGTTGGGGAGGCTGAGACAGGAGGATCACTACAAGTCCAAACTGTGTAGCGAGACCCTGGGCCAAATAAATAAAGATAAAATAAAAAAGCTTAGAGAGATAAAACCTAAAATCAACAGCAGTTAATTTTAGGTGGCTAAATCTGGAAGAAATTTATGTTGTTGTGATTTTTCAAGGTATTCTAGGAATTCTGTACTAGCAGGTACACACACAAAGTAACTAGCCCTTGCATTCTAAGACTAATTCGGCCATCAAGGCGCATAGATATGGGTCTGCAGACCCATGTTTATTCTTTAGAATATTTCTATTGATGAATCATTAATTTTAATTTTATCAGTTTTATTATACTGAACAGTTTTTACTTAACAAGTAAAAATCACCAAAATAAAGTATTGA